ATATACCAGGATCGCAGAATCATAAAGAGCTTTCTACAGAACAACTGCATAATATACCAGGATCGCAGAATCATAAAGAGCTTTCTGCAGTACAACTGCATAATATACCAGGATGGCAGAATCATAAAGAGCTTTCTGCATAATATAGGTACCAGGATCGCAGAATCATAAAGAGCTTTCTACAGAACAACGGCATAATATACCAGGATGGCAGAATCATAAAGAAATTTCTACAGTACAGCTGCATAATATACCAGGAAGGCAGAATCATAAAGAAATTTCTACAGTACAGCTGCATAATATACCAGGATGGCAGAATCATAAAGAGCTTTCTACAATACAACTGCATGTCACTAAATGTCCACACACCACAGCACACCTAGGTGTAAAATTCTCATCAATACAAATTAATCAAACCCAAACACAAAGTAGCTACTGTTAACCGTTGAGGAGTTCCCTCGACTGCCTATCGGTTCCATCATCAGATCAGCTCCAGACCGTTATCAGATTGTAGTGGTAAAATACTTAACGCAAAAAAATTAACAAATACACTAGTCGCCCTATAATTTTTAAAAGTTCCCCTCGGTTTCCCTGGGATTCCATCATCAGATCCTGACTTCATGACAATGGGACCAAATGACAAAACTACCCTTTCAAACAAAAAAAGAATTTTTGAAATCGGTCCAGGCGTCTTCGAGTAATAGAGTAACAGACATAAAAAAAATACACTCGAATTGAGAACCTCCTCCTTGTTTTGAAGTCGGTTGATAATGTCGTATATCACAAGATACTTAAGTGAACAGCAACCTATGTACTAAAATACAAAAATTATAATGAATGATAAATGTAGGTATACGATTTATTTTGTATTTGTTCCAATAAAAAATAACAGCTGTAACGCGGCAATTCGATTTTGGTTTGTGTCGAACGCACGCGCGCTACTCTAGTGGCAACGCGCCACCACACTATTTCCTCTTCCCCCGCTTCCCCGCCACTGACCGCTCGACGCTGGAGAGAACGAGTCCCGCGCCGGAGCCGCGACGCACACGCTCATATTTGTGCCGCAAATATTTCTTTGAGTCTTTTTTGTATTATTGTGCAACTATGTTTTATATTTAGTTTATTTCCAATATATACAGTTTACAGTCATTCGTGTGTCGAACTTTATTTCACGCCCTGAGAACCCACCATCAAGAACAATCTTCTTCAACTATATTACAGTGACGCCCAACTTGCGGCCACGAACGAACTGTGCATAAAAACTCAAAGTTACAACAAGTTCTAGTGTTCCTATCGTGCAAACACATATTGTGAACTCTCTCCGATAGTGCAATCACACGAAAACTATTGTAAAACCAGTGCAAATACGAAAGTGAAAACACTTGGGCGAGTCCATTTTCCGCGTGCCGCCGGTTGCGTCTGTAGGTATATACCTACCGACTCGTTGAAGCTACCATCCTCAAAATCATCCTCCGTGCTCTTCGAGCGAGTAACAGTTGGAATTGCCTGTTATCATGCCGCCGAAGAGAAGAACTGGAAGAGATGAGGGATCGGATACCGACACAGATGTCGAGATAAACAGAACCGTGATTTCGTCCCCGAATATTACAATGTCGGAGGATATGCTAAATACCCTTGTCTCTAACATCACTAGGAGTCAAGTGGAAGCAAACAGAGTTCTGATTGAGAGTATTTTGGCGGGAAACAAAAACCCGCTGATTACGTCATCGCCGCGCGCCGAAGCCGCCGACGCACACACGCATGCGCCGCGCGCAGGTAACTTCGCGAAATGCACGGCGCGATTTAACGGATCATCGAGGAACGCGGATGAGCTCGAAGCATTTATCGAGGCCATCGAAGTCTACCGCGACTGCACCAACGTCAGCGACGAGCACGCGCTGCGCGGCCTCCCGATGCTGCTGGTGGGCGAGGCCGCCGTCTGGTGGCAAGGAGTGAAGCCGTCGGTCACGTCGTGGACCGACGCCCTACAACGACTTCGAGGGATGTTTGGAGTGCCGCGACCCGGTTATAAAATACTTCGAGACATTTTCGCTACCGAACAAAATAGTGAACGGGCCGACGTATTTATTTGTAAAGTGCGCGCTTTATTATCAAAATTACCGTACGTAGTACCGGAGGTAATGAAGTTGGACATTGTATACGGGTTGTTAGATCGTAGGATTAGAAAACGCGTGTGTCGTGATTCCTTCGACGGGCTGGAGCAACTCATCACCAAAGTCAGGTTAGTCGAGGAGTCACTGGCGGCGGTAAGTTCCCCCATTTGTAATAATAATACGAGTTCTGTTGACTCGTGCGCCGCGCGTGACCGTTCTGACACAAACCCGAGTCTTAAGCTTTCGAAAACCGTCGCCGAACCCGTAAGTTCGAAATCGTCATGTAGCGCGAGTTCTTTAGTAAGTTTAGTGATGCGGCCGTGTTAGGTCAGGCCTCCACGTCTAATGTAAAGAATAATAGTGACGTACGAAAACGTACGCGACCGAAGTGTAGTTATTGTAAACTTTTCGGGCATTCAGTTGATAACTGTCGTAATAAGAAGGAAGATACTTCTAATGATAATAATAACACTCAGTTACGTTGCTACGGATGTGGCCAGCTGGGAGTAGTGCGCTCAAAATGCGATAAGTGCAAAAGTACAGCCGACTCAAGTAAAGTAGATTTTTGCAGTACTTACATTGTAGGCGTGAGTGATAATGATACACAACCGCTTATAAGTATTGAGGTCGTTGACCGTAAGGGTGTGGCCATACTCGACACGGGGGCCACACATTCTATCGCGAGCCCTACGCTGCACGCTTTGCTCGTTAAAGCTGGCGTGATGTTTAGGACGGTCGTACCGTAGGTCTTGCCGACGGGTCTCAGCAGAAACGTACCGCGCTTGAGTGTGACGTCGACGTCATATTAGGAAAACGCGTGATACCCACTACGTTTATGGTGCTACCGAATGCACAAACGAGGACGCTGTTAGGTAGGAATTTTATTATGAAAGCGAATATCCTGTTGGATTTACCACAGTGCAGCTGGCGTTTTAACGACGAGTCGAGTTGGCATCTGTTTGCCGCCAGCCCCGCTTTACCTACCACTGATAGCATGGAGCCGACCCCGCTGACGGTTGACCAGAGGGCAAAGATAACTGCTTCTCTGTTGGATGTAACTAACCGCTCCGCAAAGGAAGAACATTCTACCGATTACACCCGGCTTCGATTAAAGTCTGACGCGAGCCGAGAACGGTATCGTTTGGCATCTACTCTCGTAGCACCTTCAATGCAGGGGGAGGGCCCGGAGGAACGGCCCACCGTCATGAGTTTTACTCCGTACTTACGACGTACGTCAAACGCGCCGTTTGACGCTCGTAAAGTCCGTGAAAAGAACCGAGTTAGCGAGAAACGTAGCTCTGGAAAGAAACGTCACCCTGCGCCGGAATATTCCGCAGGAGCCGGAGATCTGCTTTTAAAAACCCAGGGCAGCGACGATGCGCCCCGTGGACAGACTCCGAGGTCTAAATCACGTCGTAAACTAGATAATGGCGAGAATTCGGGTAAGTACCGCGTCTCACAGTCGACTCCTTTCGTGGGCGATGTACTGATTCCGCCTGTTATCGAAAAGCGTAGGCGCGGAAAACCCAAGCGATTTCCAGACTGACCAAGACGCGAGGGCGCTATGTCTAGGTCAGAGGGGGAGGATGTAACGCGGCAATTCGATTTTGGTTTGTGTCGAACGCACGCGCGCTACTCTAGTGGCAACGCGCCACCACACTATTTCCTCTTCCCCCGCTTCCCCGCCACTGACCGCTCGACGCTGGAGAGAACGAGTCCCGCGCCGGAGCCGCGACGCACACGCTCATATTTGTGCCGCGAATATTTCTTTGAGTCTTTTTTGTATTATTGTGCAACTATGTTTTATATTTAGTTTATTTCCAATATATACAGTTTACAGTCATTCGTGTGTCGAACTTTATTTCACGCCCTGAGAACCCACCATCAAGAACAATCTTCTTCAACTATATTACACAGCTTATTTATTGCCATTAAGGCGGAACAAAGTTCGCCGGGTCAGCTAGTTTAATTTGATGCCGTCTCCTCCTTCTGCGCAGCAGTCATGCTAGCTAAGGAGGAGGCGTAGCGCGTGAGGGAACGAACCTCCTCACGACCCGGCCGTCGCGAGAGACACTTCGGGCGTCGGGGATCGCGAGACGATCTCCAGCCACCGTAAGCGCGGGCCTGCGGACGGCGAGCATGGGTGACTCGCCGCCCGACTAGAACCAGGCCCGAGCGTACGGCGCGTCGCGTTCCGCGCGTCGCGTTCCGCGCGCGCCTCAAGGAGCCATCAGACCACCACAGATGGGGCCTAACAAGCCTGATGCCGATACGGAGCCGCGGAAGACTTAACTTTGCCGGGGCTCCGGCTTGAAGTGCAGGAGTAGGAACGGGGTGGTTTTTAGTCAGTAAGAGTCTGACACTCCCTCCCGCCTCACCCGGGCGGGAGAAGTCATTGGATGATTTTCCCCCCGCAAAAAATAAAGCTAGTTTAATTTACATAATAGATGAAACTCAAATTACGCGTCAAAATGGTAAACAGTTGTGCCAATCTAACAATTACAAAAAAAAAAACAAAAAATTGAATTTGGAACCATAAACAAATCATCCATTCCTGATACTTTTTTGACTGAATGTAATAAGATTTTGGACTGATAAATTGACTAAAAATATTTATCGCATAAACTTATAAATTATTAGATTGTCATTTGATATAATATCGAGAATACAAAATATATATAAAAGAAAGTCGTGTTAGTTACACTATTTATAACTCAAGAACGGCTACATCGATGTGGATGAAAATTGGTAAGGACATAACTTAGTGTATTTACTTACTAACATAATATAATAATTATTTGTTAACGAGTAGCATTGGCTACTACATATGTAAATAGATACCAAAAATGACAATGTATTTAAACATAGAAAAATTACAACACAAACCTCGTAGAAGTCCATTATCTGTTCTGTTTCATTGTTAATGATGAGTTCAATTCTCGTATCATATTTGTATCTGTAATCAAAATATATTGTTAAATACACAAGTAAAGAAAAAGGTTTTCTTAATTTTTGAATTGATTACTATTGTCAAATATTCTTTAGTTTTTTATAAATGTCAATAATGTAAGAATTTTGTGTTTAAGAATTTATTGAAGAATAAAACATTAAATGTCGTTTCTTAATTTTGAAAAGCAACACATTAGTTTTATTTCATTCTAAATCATAAGATTTAGTCCAATACACATATAAAATATAAAATCTATATAATATAAATGAATTGCTGTTTTTTAGTCTTGCTAATACTCAAGAACGGCTGTACTGATTTACCTAAGCAAATTTTGGTCTTGAATGATTTGTGAAAGTTTTTCTTATGGGATAAGCCTGTAAAAGAGCTGACGGATCACCTGGTGGTTAGCAATCGGGCGGCCTATGGACATCCGAAACACCAGAGATGTTACTGGCCTTTTGGGGATTAAACTGTCAAACACCGCGAGGACACCGGTGACCGCAACCTATTGTTCTTTAATTGTGTCTATAATGACAGTACTCAAAGGGTTAAGAAAATATAATACTTGAGTACGATAAAAATATTCATTGAGGTAATATGAAGTCTGCTGGTTTAGCTATTATAAAATATAAATCCTTATTCATTTATATATAATCACAAGTGTACAGATATTGAATTTTAAACTTATTCGCACAAAACCGGTTTAGTGGTTTGTATAACAACTACTTTGTGGACGCTAATCATGAACAAGAGTTCCATTTCACTTAACTGATCGATCCCCAGATGGTTACCAGTGACCTCACTCTACTAACTCCATTATAGACCTTATTTACTACCTTTATGGACTACTTTTGTATGAACAAACTTTAGGGATGTATATCAAGTGATTATTTTCACTGAATAAGCAATTATTTTCTACTAATTTTGTTACAGGATACAGTAAAACGACTTATTTTTATAGAACCTCGGTATAGATAATTATAGTTATTTCATATTTTTTATACCCACATAGTAAAAAGTACTTCCAGAATCATCTCGGTAACAATTCATAGTAAATTATAATTATGAGTATGGTAGATAAAACATGAACTTAAAATTATATTTATCATTGATTTATGACTTATAAAAACTATAAATAAACAGAAGAACAAAGGAAAATGTAAGAAATATTTTGATAGACTTAAACATCCTACCTTCACATAGACAAAAATAAATAAATATTAATTTCTAACACGTAGGTACATGTTTTATCTTAGTGGTACTGAACTTTTCTAGAAAATAACTAACAGATAACCAAATGGTGATAACCAAACGGCAGGGGGATTCCCCAGGATACAAAAGCTTCCTAATGACGCAATTGATGTAACAGTGCATCGTTATGCAACTATTTAACTGAATCAACTATTAAATTGATAAAAATCATGTTTAAAATTATTTTTAGACAATATTACTCAACATATTTTGCAATTTCCAAACGTAAACAATATAATCAGCTTGTAACATACTTACGTATCGTAAATAAAGTTTCTTTTATTCAGTCCGCTATTATTTTGGTATACACATAGCACTGTTGATAATAACAAACTACTGAAAATTATTCTAAACATATTTTATAATTGTTTTCTATTTTTATTTTACGTAAACAACATCGCTCCTCCGCTTTCAGATAATCACTAAAAATGTAGGGTTTTTATCAGGTCGACATTGAAAACAACCAATTGAGTTGAGGGTATGACTAATTCGAAATAATATAAAGTTCCCCTTTAATTTAGATAGTGGAATAAAATTATCGTATTACTTTAAAATATATTTATAGTTTACTGTAAGCCACGTACTACTTAAAATTCAGTAAATGCTAAAAATTAATATTTTGTTGTAATTTTCTAATCATTTAGTTTAAATTACGTGCCTCATAAAAACCCTTTTTCGTCATTGACGTTAACTTGACATTGACAATAAAGATTTCGTCCGAAACGTACGATATCATCGAAAACTAAAAAATGTATGTTTTAATTCTTGACGCTTTTTTTTATTAACGATTAAAATAGGTAATTTCTTATATTTAATAAAAATATATTTATTTATAATTATATTATTTAAGCTATATTATCTATACTAATATTATAAAGAGGAAAGATTTGTATTTTTGTATGTTTGTAATGAATAAACTCTAAAACTACTGAACCGATTGCAATAATTTTTTCACCATTCGAAAGCTGCATTATTCAGAAGTAACATAGGCTATATAATATCACGCTAGGTCCTATAGTTGTGGAGCAGTAACCAAAAATGTTTTAAAAACGGGGGAAAAGTATCGTTTCTGAGGCCTTCCGTGGCGTGCGCTGAGCATATAGTTAAAGTTATACAAAAATGTTCTCTAAATGAATTGTTTATATTAACATTATTTTTAAAAAAGTCCGCGAGAGCATATGTCTACCTTTTATAGTTTACCCATAACAATCGTTTTAATGAATGGTTCAATCCTTTTAAAAGTTTGCTCTAGATAACTTTTGAACAGTTCAATCGGTTACCTTAAGACGCGACATCGACAACGGAGGGCAGGTCGCTAAAAAAAAACTGAGAATAAATATAAATAAAACGTAAAACTATGTAAAAAATCTTAAGTCCCCCCGTGCGAAGCCGGGACGGGCCGCTAGTTAATTAATAAAACATTCCTTATAAATGTAATTTATTTAAAAATTATTTTTTGTCTCGATTAAGAGGCAAACAAGCAGACGGATCACCTGATGGTAAGCTATCAACGCCGCCCATGGACACCTACCGCACACACCGCGAAGTCTGATTTTATACGGGTGGAACTCTATTGCGAAATGTCTGATTTTAGTTTGATTAATGTTAATGGCATTATTAGGTACTTATACTTCTCGTATATTATCAATATCATACCGACAGGATTTCCACCGAACTGGGAATCAAACACGAGACCTTGTTTGAGACTTCTCCACGCCTCGACTAATAAAAACCTATGTTCAGCCGTTGATGCAATCATGCAAGTGAACTAGTGATGAACCCCTATTGTATGTTGTCTAAAGTGCCATTGAAGAGGAATTTATTTACATACTTAATCAAGATTATCGATGAATTTCTTACTGTTGCTGTATAGCAAGTAATATATTCCTAATTACTACGTATGCTTATTTAAAAAAAAATTGTTGGCGTAAGATTGTTAGTATTTCCATTAACAGCCTAAAATAATAATATCCATAGTAATCAGAATCATGTATTACGTATTTTTAGTTAGGCCGCGTTTAATAAATTGATTGAGTGTAAAAATAAATAGAAAAGCTGCGTCTATCTTTGTCTGATGAGTACAAACGGTCACACATTGTCACTCATAAAAATATATTGATTTTCACTTAAAACCAACTTGCGCAAAATCCCGTTGTCTGCCAATTTCTTTGACTATCGGTAAATGATTCAATGAAAACAAAGTTTAATCTTTAGTTGTATATAGGTATTTAATTTAGTAATATTTAGTTTTAATTTTTTAGTTTTAATTTAGTAATATTTAGTTTTAATTTTTTTTTTTTTTTAAGTAATAGTTAGTTTTTAATTTAAGTTTTTTATTTGAATAAATGATTTATTACAAATGACAAAAAAAAAAAAAAAAAAAAAAAAAAAAAAAAAAAAAATGAAAACAAAGATAATTTGAAATTTGTGTCCGATTCGTATTATGAGACACAAATAGAGACACAAAAGTCATGTTACCTTCTTCGAAAACGTGAAACATCTTGCGTCAAACTGTGAACGTGTATTATCTTTAACGTGAATCGGAACAAACGTCTATGGATTGCTGTCGAACAAAGAGAACGAACCAATGATAAATAAATTGAAAATGGCGTCGTTTAGCCGACCAAATGAATCAAAGAATATATTTTTCAATTAATTCAATTTAGCAATTCAATATTTTACAACCAAACGTTGATAACAAAAGAATTTGACTGATTTACGCGTATTTTGCGGTGTTTATATTAGTGAGAAACGTGTAGAGTGCAAGTGAAACCAGAAATGGTGCTTTATGTTTTGTCAGTGTGATAACATTGGTGTTTACATGATTTCGGCGCGGGGCAACTTGGTAAAATGTTACCGACAGTGGAGGAGACGCGAGGGTACGACTTCCAGGACCCTGAGAATGTGGAGAAGTGGCGCGGCGTGTTTATAAATCCTCTTCGAAAGGTGAGCGAATCGAAGTTTGTATCATGACTTATTGTTTGCAAATTATCGATAGAATTGTCAATTATTGATACTGTATGTAATATTACAGGGCTTAGATGTGTAGAGTAAAGCTTACTAGTGTCTTGTAGTGAGTATTACGGTCCAGGTGTCGATAAGGCTATGTTATTGTGATAATATTGTAGTGGCCCTCGTGAAGGTTCCTGATAGCTTATCAAACGAAATCTGCAGTAATTCTGATTGTAAATGATTGCACGGTCATCGTAACGCTACGATATGCTGCGGATTTACTCGTAATTTTGTTGAATTGAACTTATTAAAGTTGTATTTTTATTTGAATGTAACCTTTGGATATTGTGTGAAAGAAATATTTAGGTATATAACATTAAATTATGATGTTTATTAATAATCGTGTTAAAGATAGATAAGACCTAGTATTTACGAATTTGGTCATAATTTTAGTACCTAATTATTATTGTATTCACACAAACATAATAATAAGATTTTTTATGATAAAACTTGTTAAGTCAACATACCTTTATGTTATACTACTATAAGACAGTCAAAAACAACATAGTTTCTAATAAAATTATTATGATAACATAAATAAGGGAAGTAGTAGTAACCAATTGATTACACTGGTCAACACAAGTCTTGTTTCCTTTATTTTTTTTTTCTGTTATTGGGTATTTCTATGGCCCTGAGTATGAAAAAAATACTAGAAGATTGCTAACAGCTTCAGTTTTTTAAATATAGAGTTTAATAAAATAAAATACAGAAAATATAAATGATAATGATGTCAACAAAATTTTTATTGAACATTAGCAAATGATCTTTTATATGGTTTTCTTGAATGAACAACTTTAGGTAGATCACATTCCAAACTCCAGTAGGTCTGCATCATATGTGAGTATCAGGGGCGGTGGGACTATAGCAGACTATGGCAGAGATTCCATTAAGATCTTCAACCAATAGTTGAAGATCTTAATGGAATCTTTTACCCTGGTCCTCACTAAAATCACCTAGATTTTGTGGAAATCGGTCTAAATGTGAGTGCAGCAAGTGGATTTTTATGCTCATGTTGCACCCTAACTCAATACACAATTTTATTCTGAAGTATTGATGATACACAGTTTTTACAAGGCCAATATAGGTTTTCAATATTTGGCAAATACATATTAACCACAAATGTCGCAAAAAGAATCAGGATTAAGTTCACAACACCTTCTTGACTAAGCTATATCGAAAACAATAAGATATTTCAATGTCCAATAAAAAACACAACTACATATAAGTAAAAATAGTAGGTAATGGAGGGGAGGAGTAATTTAGCAGTAACTCAAAAACAAAAGCTGTGAGAGAAAAATTGTTACCATATTTAAAAAATATTTTAGTTTAAGATAGAAACAAAAAAAATTAAAGGAAACAGACAATTTTATTTTTTTTGTTGATCAGTGTTATTTGTATATTATATTTAATTAAACACTAAGTAAACATCCAGTTAATAAGTAACTTAAAATATAATGACTAATGTCAAAATATTCAATTTAAAGTCACACTTAACTGTCAGTTTGTAACAACAAATTCTTTATAAAATGACAAAGATGGCACGATATTTAAGTACAACTTTAATTTGAGTAGCTTTTCAGTATTTGTGCTTCATGGTCGTATAATCCAAAATCTGGGTTTAGGAAGGGATTGAGATCAATTTGTACCTGTCTGTAGAAAGGGTGAAAAGTGTGTGTTACATTGTACAGTGCATTAAGTCCGTAATGTACACCTTTGCCTACTCCTTTGGGGATAAAAGGCGTGATGTTATGTTGTAGAAAGGGTATTATTTTTGGACATTAGTTTCGTGGAATTCCTGTCTAAAAATGGATTTTGCATTCAAATCAGGCTTTAATCAATATATAACAATACCAATAAAACTCTTTTACAATGTCTGAATAAGTTCCTGTTAGTATTATTAAGTGATATTATATTGATTTACTATTTTTCCATATGAAATTTTCCAATCACTACACTTGGGAGTAAAGAAGCGGAACCACTAGTGTTTTCTTACTCCTCAGTTAAAATTTATCTGGTGTTGGAAAAAATGGTCCTTATTCAGATATTGTGAAATAGGCCCTTTATATATGAACTTCAACCCCAAATTAATGTAGAACTAAAGTATTGCACCATATTATCATCCCAAGTGTATTACTCATCTACAACATGTGTAGATAATTGTCATAATATGACAGAGATAGACATATTATGTCTATCCCTGTCATTAATTAATTAATTGTAATGTTAAGACTGTCTTGGTGGCCCGGAGGTTTAGACACCCGCTCTCATGCGGGTTAAAAACCTACCAATGGCAAGTACCAATATGAGTTTTTCCGAATTATATCTACTTTCTAAGATTATCTAGACACCACTGCCAAACAGTGAAGGAAAAACATCATAAGGAAACCTGGATTTATAATTTCTAATTATAAGTTTGAAACTACCAACTTGCAATGAGCAAGCGTGGTGGTTAATGCTCAAACCTTCTCAGTGTGAGAAGAGGTCTTTGCTCAGCATTGAACACTTATAGGCTGTTGATGATGATGAGGAATGTTAAGAGTGAGTTTTAAGTGTGTATTGTTATAACAATAATGTAATTTGAAACTTTTCTTTCAATTGGGTACTTTCCTTAATCAAAAATAAATTATTTTAACAGTTCAATACAAAAAATATTAAAAAATAATCACAATTTCATTAATTGATTTTATGACAAACATAATTTTAGTATTATTCCAGCAAATTTTAAAGAAATAAGTACGCTGTTTGACTCTAAAACAATGTGACGTCACAATACTCAATTTCGTACAAAATTCATAGAAAACTGTTGTTTTTGACAGTTCGAAATAAGTGTTGAATTTGACAGGTTGGCAAGTACTGAATTGTAATTTCATTGCATGATTGAATTGAAGAATTATAATGCAATTAGCATTCAGCCAGCAGTTCGATCTGGGTACCTGAATTAAAAGGGGCCTTATGTTATAGATTATAATCTATCTTTGTGCTAAGTTTCATCTAGATTTCGATGTTCTGTTTCATCTAGTCGGCCCATCAAATTTTAATATAATAAATAATAATAAATTTATTATTATCTCTCTACACAAAGGATAATTTACAGAAATAAGATACAATAATATAAAAAAACATTTAGTAGTTTTTTGGTAAAAGAGTAACAAACATAGTATATGACCATGAGACACAAAATTTTGGTAAAAAATGATGTACCTAGTTGTGTTCTGTGATATAAAAGTGTAATAATGTTAATAATGTTACAGTAAGTTAAGATTTCAAAAATTAATATCATGTAAATGAACAAACAAACTGGACAATAATAAATAACTGCAGCTATATTAAATAAAAAATAAAGTATTTACAACTAAAGTTAACATGAGGAATATAGAAAAATATAAAAATAGAGGAAAAACTAACTAACAAATAAAAAAAAATATCCTCATTATTGTCATGAGGTGAGGTGTCGAAAAGGCTGGCAAGTGGCAGCATTGCCACATTAGATGGCAATACTTAACCTTTGACCAAGGTAGTAGCCAGCCTTTCGATCACCTGTGCCTTTAACCAAACGCCACTTTAGCGCTTGTCTACAGAGAGAGTAGAAATCAAAATGTATGGGGTCACTGTCACTGACAAATGTCAAAATTTACGTCAATTCCATATAATTTGGTTTTCTATTCTACATGTAGACAAGCGCTAAATGGCATTTGGCTACAATCATTAAATCAGTCAAGCCGTTTGAAGAAGGAGTTCAATGACATACACACGTCCTGCAGAATTATATATATAAAGATAGATAGATGATGTGTAATGCTTGTAAATAAATCACAAGACTATCCAAGAACACACTAGGGAACAAATATCCCACGACATGTCAAGTGAAGCCTGCCAATGTCGCCCGACATATTATAAGGCGACACCGCTGGGCCAGCGCCGTCTCCTCCTTTTGCGAAGCAGTCATGCTAGCTAAGGAGGAGGCGGGACGCGTGAGGCAGCGAAGCGCTGCCTCCTCGCAACTCGGCCATCGTGAAGGACACACCGGGCGTCGGGGATCGCGGGACGATCTCCGGTCATCGTAAGCGCGGGCCTGCGGACGGCGAGCATGGGTGGCTCCCCGTCCGATCAGAAACAGACCCGAGTCGCGTTCCGCGCGCGCCTCAAAGAAGCATCAGACTACCACAGATGGGACCCAATAGGGCTGTTGCCGATTCGGAGTCGCGGAGAACCTAACGGGTAACCGGGGCTCCGGCTCGACGTGCAGGAGAAGGAACGGGGTGGTTTTTAGTCAGTAAGAGTCTGACACTCCCTTCGGCCTCACCCAGGCGGGAGGAGTCATTCGATGATTTTCCCCCTTAAAAAAAAGGCGACACCGCGCGCCTTATGTCCACAACGACGTTGATGTTGCCAGACATGTCGACCAAAGCCTGGCAACGTCGCGCTTCTCCATTTAACGTCGCTGGCGCCACGTGACGCAGGACATTTGTCCCATATTGTATCCCCTTTTTGGTGGTTGGTGGTAAGAAAAGCACAGAACCCACCTGATGGTAAGTGGTTACCGTGGCCTACGAACGCTTGGAACACTTGGGGCATTCATTTAAAACTGTTTCTGACCATACTAAATAACACTTTTCGTTGCTACTGTCTTTTTGCAGTAACAAAATAGAGTGACACAGCGGATGGGTGTATAATTAATGCAGTTCTACCTTCTTTTATGGGATAAGCGGGCAGTAAACGAGCAGACGGATCACCTGATGGTAAGCAATCGGCGTCGCCCATGGACACCCAAAAGACCAGAGGTACACACTGCGTCATCGGCCTTTTGGGGATGCCAACAATACTATGTAACTAGAGAATTGTATTGTGAATCTGATTGAAACAGAGTTTCAATCTTCTCAAACCTATGGAGTTTCTTGCTCGTTCTTCCCCATAGGAATCTACGCCTTCGAATGAGCAAATAACTTCACTTTTTGTTGACGTTCAAAAGTGCCTTCCTGGTCTATTTGAAATAAATGATTTTGACTTTGAATGCTGCTCATGAATGACTTTAGCGGAGCACAGTATATTGGCAGTCATATACTTTAACAATGTGTTTATGTATCTAGGTGCTGGACCACGAGCACCCCACCCTGACAGCGGAGGAGAGCGCGCTACAGTATGTGGAGTCACTCTGTCTACGGCTACTCGCTATGCTCTGCGCCGTGCCCTCGCCGCTTACAGTGCAGGTACGAACAAATACTGTTCTTTGAGGAGTTGAGACTGAATGTGCATCTGATCTGATCTGATCTGAATAATGGCATCGAGCATTTCTTTATTGAAATAAAGAGTTTCCTTTTCTTATATAGAAGCACTAATTCTATGGATTGTCAGTATGCATATGTGAGCACCATGTTGGACTTCAAGATTTGATTTGATTTACATATGCGTACAGTATTGAAATATGTATCAGAGACATTGTAGAACATACTTTTTTTAAAAAGAGTAACGAATGGAGTTTCTTGCTCGTTCTTCTCCATTCGAATCTACTTTTTGGAATGAGCACCTAGCTTCACCTAGTTTCACTGACGGACTGACTGACAGACTATTATTTATTTTGTATTTGTTGACGTTTCAAAAGTACCAAACTATGGTTTAATTGAAATAAATGCTTTGACTTTGACTTTGACTTTGAATGATTACTTAAACTGTGCTTTAGTAACGATGTTGTTCCGAAAACAATTACCAAGGACTGGGTTGAGTAGCCATTCAATAAGTACGGCGGTTACTGTCTTTTCAGTAGTCTAGTGTTTTTAAATATTTAGACCAGCTCCCGTGAGGTTAGTACGCTTTCCTAGATTTTTTTAATGGCTTACTCTTGAATCCATTACTGATCAATCGACATTGGTATTGTGAAATTTCGTACTCTTGAGTTGCAACATTAGCGCCCATTGCATCCGCATTCCGCGGATATTGAATGAACTAAATGGTATTGAGTTTGGCTTTATATTCCGTACTCTGAATGCTATTTTAACAGCTACGATAGGGGTTGTATAGTGTTGACATTGAATAATTATTGAGATTGTATAGGATTGAAATTACATTGAAATTGAGATTGGTTTCAAAAGTAAACACCCTGATGGTAAGCATTCGGCGTCGCCCATGGAGACACGCAACACCAGATACGTTTCTAGTCTTTTGGGATTAGGAATTTGAGGATTGTTGAGGATTCAGGAATTGGGGAAAGGGGGGGGGGGGGTGTAATTGGGCCTATACACACTTACAGGCCAAACTGAGATCCTCCTTCTTTTTTTTGAAGTTGGTCAAAAATGTTTCTTTATATTTTTTTTCTCATCCCCAGGACGTAGAAGAAAGAGTAGCGCGCACATTCCCGACACCATTAGACAAATGGGCGATCACAGAGGCCCGCGACCTGGTCACCATCAAGCGACGGAAGCCGATGATCCCCTGCGACAAGCTCCACCAGCTTCTACAAAAGGAGGTGCTTCTATACAAAATAGATGTGTCTGTGTCACAGTTCATCACGGCTGTACTGGAGTTTATGACCAGCGATATACTGCGGTTGGCTGGGAACTATGTCAAGAAGATATCCCAGAAGTCTGGGTATGATACTATCACGTGCCGGGACATTAAGACTGCTATGTGTGCTGATAAGGTGAGTACTTCTTTATAACATCATAACATCACGCCTTTTATCCCGGAAGGGGTAGGCAGGAAGTGCACATTACGGCACTAAATGCCACTAGAATGTAACACTCACTTTTCACTATTTATGTTATGAGTCCCATGTAATATGATGGGGGTGAGCCTATTGCCATATACCGGGCACATTTCCAGACTCCGTGCTACTACTGACATTTTTAAAAACCCAGTAATACTTTGCCCGACCCGGGAATCGAACCCGAGACCTCTTGACCAGCAGTCGCACTTGCGCCCACTCGGCCAACGAGGCAGTCTTCTTTATTTTTGTTTTAAAAAGCGTTGTCCTACACTAGGATTTTCTCTTGGGCCGTGTGTGCGTTTACAAACATACAAGTTCACACACACAGACCAGAAACAACAATTTGTAGATGACACAAAGTGTTGTTCCGTGCGGGAATGGAACCCGCGACACGCTGCACGGCAGCCGGTTGCCCAGCCACCGCAACAACCGTGGAATCAAGTCTTCAAGTCTTATTATAATACCTTCAAAATAAAAAGGACTTATGAATTATGGTATATGCCGACAAACGAGCTGACGGGTCTCCTGATGGTAAGCAATCAGTGCCGCCCACTTGCATGATGCGTAAGATCAAAACATAATTTTCAATGAACTACGTTTATAAAAATCGACTTGAAGCCCCCTCTTTTTGATGTCGGTTAATATACTTAAATCTGCACCTAGGTGTGACAAACACTTTACTGAAAATTACACCAAAATTGGTTCAGGCAATTGTGAGATAATCGTGGACAAACATTTATACAACCTCAGATTTTCTTTCAGTTTTTTAAGTATGTCGATTTAAAAGATTGTTTTCCATTTAATATGACCACTGCTGCCTATCCTTTCAGGTTATAAAAATTATCTTGAATAAGTAATTAATTTTAAGTGTGGGAGAGCCATGCTTCGCCACGAATGGGCCGGCTCGACCGGAGTGATACCACGGCCTCACAGAAAACCGACGTGAAGCAACGCTTGCGTTGTGTTTCGTCGTGTGAGTGAGGTTACCGGAGGCCCAATTACCTTCCCCTTCCCCTGCTCGTTTACGGCGTATGCCATAAAAAAAAGAATATAAAATTACTTCCAGAAACCACACTAAAACGACCCTCTTTCCCTCCTCAGGTACTAATGGACATGTTCTACCAAGAATCTGAGCTAACGACCTCAGAGAACTCTGGCGGTGGCTCAGAGAGACGAGGCCGTCGCGGCTCCCTCTCGTACGCGGAGCTCGTCAGGGACCTCCTTACTGACGAGAAGCACTTCCTCAGGGACCTCAACCTCATCATCAGGGTATTCAAAGATGAGCTCGAGAAAATTTTGGATAAAGATAGTCGAGTAAGTGTTACACATTTGTCACCATCGCAGCTCTTCATGCGGGTGTCGTATACCCGACTAAAGGGATTTTATGTTTTAAAATATTGCTTTGCTAGACACTAGGATATTTTCCTGTGTCGTAGATGATTTTACAAATATACAAATTCATATTTACATCATACCCAGAGTCTGAACAACAAGGCCTGTTAAAGATACGGTTGACCGGGCGACTGGCTCTAGTGCTGGATCGATTCCCCCCGAACTTTTTGTGTGTTTTATAAATTGTTGTTCCGGGTCTCTGTGTGTGTGTGTGTGTGTGAGAGAGAGGGAGATTCTGATTTTTTCTTTAAAGAAGTTAACATACCTAAAATATTATTATTGTTACGTCAAGAGTGGCGCTAGTATCGCATTAAGTGACCCTCAAAAATCAAACGTATGAGTGTTTATGTGTTAATTTGCAGGCGATATCCTTAATATTCGGGAACATAGTGGACATATACGAGCTGACGGTGACTCTGCTGGGCAACCTGGAGGACGCCATGGAGATGTCGCAGGACTCGCCCACGCCGTATATTGGGAGCTGCTTTGAAGGTATTATTAGTTTTAAACATAACATTTTTTATCATTTATTGCCTCGTTGGCCGAGTGGTCGCAAGTGCGACTGCCGCGTAACGGGTCTCAGGTTCGATTCCCGGGTCGCGCAAAGCATTACTGGGGTTTTTCAAAAAATCCTTAGTAATATATTATAGTTCCAGAGTTTGGAATTGTGCCCGGTATTTGGCAATAGGTTCACCTGTTTCACTTTCACTTGTTTCACTCTATATGGGACTCGTAACATAAATAGTGAAAAATGGGTGCTGTGACACCCATCGCAGTAATGCCACTGTACAATACATTGTACAGTGGCATTAAATGCCGTTATGTGCTCTGCCTACCCTTTCGGGGATAAAAGGCGTGACGTTATGTAATTTTTTATCACTCCTACTGCTCATCACGTGTGTGTCGTATACTATACCCGACTAAGGGACTTGCCCACTCAAAAGAGGCTGGGTAGCATTCTCAGGTTTGGGGTCAATACATGTAAAAAAATACATGTCGTGGTGGCCCGGAGGTTTAAGACGCCCACTTCTCATGCATGAGGGTGCGGGTTCGAAACCTACCAACGGCAAGTACCAATGTGACTTTTTCCGAGTTATATGTACTTTCTAAGATTATTTAGACACCACTGACAAACGGTGAAGGAAAAACATCGTGAGGAAACCTGAACTTATAATTTCTAATTATAAGTTTGAAATCGCCAACCCGCATTGAGCAAGCGTGGTGATTAATGCTCAAACCTTCTCCGTGTGAGAAGAGGCTTTGCTCAGCAGTGGGCATTTATAGGCTGTTGATGATGATGATGATGACATGTAAAAATGTGTCCGAAACGGAACCATGACACACAATAAATAAAATCTAGGCCGTCCTTTATGGTCGCGGAGAACCTAACGGGTTACCGGGGCTCCGGCTCGACGTGCAGGAGAAGGAACGGGGTGGTTTTTAGTCAGTAAGAGTATGACACTCCCTCCCGCCTCACCCAGGCGGGAGAAGTCATTCGATGATTTTCCCACCTTATAAAAAGCGTTTTATACATAACTATGTCTATATGCCCCTATTATTAATTACAGAGCTGGCAGAAGTAGAAGAGTTCCGTGCGTACGTGCGGTACGCTAACATCGTCACTCGCAAGGAGTCCAGAGACGCGCTGCAAGCTATTGTGGATGACCCCGTTGTGAGTATATAATAATAATTGTTATACAAATATGTAGTATACAGTACTTATCACTTGATATAGATGCCCAAAATTTGTTTATACAAAAGTAGTCTCTAAACATCGGATATAAGGTCTATAATGGAGTGGAGAGGTCACCGGTGACTATTTATAATAATAGAAAAGTGTCGGTTACTGATACTTCTCTATTAGAATTTTACTATTTATCAACATCGCCATCGATGTTCTTGAAATTTTGTACGTAGGGCGTATTCGGGAGCGATAAATTAATGTATCTAGGTTGATGTTCAGAAAATGACGATTTTTCATTGAATAAAAGCTCTTATTATTAATAGTTCAAATACAATAATTTTAATAGTTCAAATAGCTTGGTAGGTTTCTTTTATTCTACTTCTTCTGTTTTCTATTTTATGTTCTTGTTCTATCTTATTTCCCATTAATATTCCATTTTAACTATATTTTTTTTTCTGTAAAAATATTAAGAACTACAAGAAAACACCGAGCGGTGCTCGATCATTCATGTGCTAGATTGATACTATTAAATGTCGGTTATTAGTACGGGATTTTATTACAAAATGAAGGAATAACAACAAAATGAATAAAGATGGCGCGGTCCAACAGTCAATTGTGACGTCATGTCCTACCCTTATAGTGGGGATATTGAGTGACGTTCAAAATGGCACTGTTGGCTTGGACTCCGAACAATTACGTACTGAGAATATTTTTTTTGGAACACCAGAGGCGTTACAAGTCCGTTACCGGCCTTTTGGGGATTAGGAGTTTGAGGATCGTTGGGGATTCAGGAATTGGGGAGATTGGGGAAGGGGAGGGTAATTGGGCCTCCGGTAAGCAAACTCACACGACGAAACACAACGCAAGCGTTGCTCCACGTCTGTTTTCTGCTCGGCCGTGGTATCACTCCGGTCGAGCCGGCCCATTCGTGCCGAAGCATGACTCTCCCACACTTACAATACTGTCGGTCGATTAAGCCTTGTTCGCACTGCGGTAGTATTTTAGTCGAGTAGCGAGTTTTTAGTAGCTCTGTCTACTAGGTCAGTACGAACAAGGCTTAAGTGATTTCAATAGTTTGTTTCGGCATTTCTTTAACCCCTCGAGCGTCCTTATGAGCACCCGGTGGATCATAAGAAACAATGCTCCATGCTGCTTTCTCTTTTATAAAATCTATTATTAATGTTTTGTTTTTATTTTGACTGTATTTGTGTTATTTCTATTGAAATTATCCCTGTTTTCGTATGCCAATGGCCAAATAAATGCAATTTCTTTCTTTCTTTATTTCTTTCTTTCTCCAAATGTCACGTGTGCACCCGTTGGATCATAAGGAACGCGGACGCTCGACGGGTTAAGTGTGGGAGAGCCATGCTTCGGCACTGCTGGGCCGGCTCGACCGGAGTGATACCACGGCCGAGCAGAAAACGACTCATAAGACGAAACGCAATGCAAGCGTTGTTTCACGTCGGTCAATCTGCTCGGTCGTGGTGTCACTCCGGTCGAGTCGGCCCATCCGTGTCTATTCGTGCAAACATCTGAGTTTGTTTCGGCATTTCTTTTTGGAATAGTCTGTAGGAAATGTCGGCTTAATTAAAATGTGAACAAGTAAAGGTACACTGTACGAAAATAAATGACTGCACGGTTGGCGCAGTGGTTAGACAACTGGCTGCCGCGCAACGTGTAGCAGGTTCGATTCCCGCACGGAACAACTATTTGTGTGATCCACAAATTGTTATTCCGGGTCTGGGTGTCCTGTGTATGTGAACTTGTATGTTTGTAAACGCACCCACGACACAGGAGAAAATGCTAGTGTGGGAAAACGTTTAATAAAAAAAAACATTCCTTTAATTACGAAGATTTTTTTATTGCTGCTTACACATACCTCCCCCCCGCCCTTAGCTGTCGGAGCGGCTGGACACGGCGGGGCACGGGTTCCGCCTGGCCGTGAAGTACTACCTGCCCAAGTTGCTGCTGGCGCCGGTGGCGCATGTCTTCCTCTACCACAACTATGTCCTGGCGCTGCTGCAGATCGCCCCCGCTTCCGAAGACAGGGAGAGCTTCAAACAGGTCAGGATTTATATAATAACTTTGCAAACTTTGCACCTAGCTCCACTGACGGACAGACTGACACTTGATGACTGCACGTATGGCGCGGTGACTGGGCAAGAGTTGCTCTGAGCGGGGATCGAACTCGCGACACGTTGCGCCGCAGCCGGTTGCCCAGCCACCGCACTAACCGTGTTGTCAAGTTACACAAGACATGATAAATTAATTATGTTCTTCGGCTTAGAGCTAATTAATCAACAGATAATTGTAAACTGTAAATTTTAGTATGGAAGTATTCTCAAATATTCAAAGTTATACCTCTGATGAAATTTATCTGGAGGTGGAAAAATCAGCCCTTACTCCCGTAAGTGCTTGACGAGGAACTCGACTAGTTTCAGGCCATGCTAGAGACTCGTATTCATGACACACGAATTTCAACATTCGCTAAATACTGCTCATGAATATGAGCTGCTAGCATGGCCTGAAACTAGTCGAGTTCCTCGTCAAACACTTACGGGAGTAAGGGCTGATTTTTTTAAAGCCAGCCAATCGAGTTCCTCGTCAAACAGTTACGTGTGTAAGCCAAAAGAGATAATAAAATTGGAATGTAGCAAAGGGTGTGCGAGAGATTTGGGACTTAGAAAAATTTACATCAAAATTGAGAATACTCGCGTGGACGACCGCGAAGACCTCACAGTTCTAACCTAACCTAACCTAATGTGTCGGGTGTGTGCCCAATAAGTGGTTTTACATACTCCGCTTACTGACATTTAGGGCTCATTTTCATGCGAATCTGAAGTCTTAGACAGAAAGTGCCCAAATGATTTTCACCTTATTTTTAGGTATACTAAGCAATGACTGCGTAAGGGGTAAGGGGTCTCGGGTTCGATTCCCGGTTCGGGCAAAGTATTACTGGAAATGTGCCCGTTATATGGCAGTAGGCTCACCCCCTATTACATGGGACTCATAACATAAATAGTGACAAGGGGGTTTACATTGTACAGTGGCATTAAGTGCCGAAATGTGCACCTCTGCCTACCCCTTCGGGGACAAAAAAGGCGTGATGTTACTAAGCAATGGAAATGAAAAACTAGCCATTTCTAAGAATTTTCATTTTTGATGAAATTTTTTCTGTCCCAAATTTATTGCACACCTTTTGCTACACTCTGACCGATAATAATTAATTTAGGTCAGAATATGCTTCAATTGTGATAATTTTTTGAAATGTGATTAGTGACCCCTTTGTAAATGAGTTGGGGGTCATTAGTTATATTTGTCATAATGACTATTGACTCCACGAGTCACTTGTCATTGTTATGTATTCGTATTTGTTATAATTTGTAACTGCTTACCGGACTTCAGTGTTCCGGTGTTTTCATGGTTGTATCTACTGTAGATCCTGGCTTACAGGAGTTGCAGCGGTTTAGGGAGGTGTGGCGGGCTTGTCCTATAAAAAAAACTGCATACTTGCATGTTACAAAAATGTATAATTATTTTCACTTTAACGTAAAAACCATTACATTAGAATGTCTACCCATTAACAGTAATAGAGAATGTCGATATGTTAAGACAATCATATTCGATTACACTTTGAAGGAATTAAATCAAAGCAATCGACCAAGTATTCTTCCAATAGACATTTGTTAGCAGTATTTAAGATTGTTATTTTTTTTTGTTTTTAGACCCCTTTTATGTTATTGTTTAACATTCCATGTTAAAGTTCCATTCCATATTCCTGTTTAAGTTACGTCTCCATAAAAATATTTAACGCCGGTTTCACCACCTCTATATAAGTACCTGATAAACTTATGTGACACATAGTTCACACAAATTACGTTCTTAATTCAAATTTATCTGGAAGATACCGGCTATCCAGATATTGTGAATCAAACCCTTAAGGTATTAAAATATAGGGGTCTATTTGGGGTCATTGTGAAATTGTAGCCGAGTACTACTCGATATATATGAGTTACCGAATGATTCTAAAAATATAACGATAGAAATAAGAAAATAACACATTAACAGCGCTAATCAAACTTATACTTATAAAAACTAAACAGTGCTAATAAACTAACATACTAACAAAGGGTCCAGGCGCTGTATAAAGTATTATTCTATCGACACAATGTTATTACAGATAACTCCTGCGTCTGAAGACAGGGAGAGCTTTAAACAGGTCAGTGGGGTCATGTGTCACTAAAACTATATTATTAGACCCCCATTCTAGGAACTAACAATGGAAACTATTGTAGACCCCAGTCTTAAAAGTATTTGGAATAATAAAATGAAAGAATATCTTTGTATGTCCGTCTGGTAGATTAATTTAAATCATTAGACACGTATTTTTTCTTTTCTCACAAAATTAAATACTTTCGACGATATATTAGTTTGAAATATCGTGTGACGTCACAGCGTGCCACATTTTGTAGCACGTTATGACGTAACGACCTAAGTATTGCAACTCAATACGAGAAAATAAAAAAAATACGTGTCTAATATTTTTTCATTATCTAACTGACGGACTAATTAGATTTTAATTTTGATACCCTAGGAACTACCCATTTGGGGTCATTAGTCATAAAGTCATAACCTAGTATTGTGTCATTTGCAATGGCTGATTCCGGCATCATGTTTGAATTGTGGCGTATTATTGACCCTATATTCCTATTGTATCTATTACAAAGACACGAAAAGTCTTATTAATAAATTCTCATGAATTTGAAGGTGAAGAAAAATTTTATGTTGGTCACTTTAAATCCTTATTTGTTTTGTTTTTTTTTATGTTATTTCACTTCAGGGCTGTAATATATATTGAAAGTTCAATTTGTATACATTCAAAGTTCCAATATCATTACAGACCAACTTACCTTTTTTATAATAGGTATTTAAGATCGGAAGTAGAAAGGTCGCAAGTGCGACTGCCGGTCAAGGGGTCTCGGGTTAGATTCCCGGTTCGGGTAAAATATTACTGGGTTTTTTAAAAATTCTCATTAGTAGCACGGAGTCTGAAATTGTGCCCGGTATATGGCAATAGGCTCACCCCCTATTACATGGGACTCATGACATAAATAGTGAAAAGTGGGTGTTACCATTGTACAGTGGCATAATGTACAATGGGCGTGATGTTATGTTATGTATTTAAAAATGTTGCATTCTGAGATTACTGACTTGGTATATTTCTGCTGTTTCCCGTACCATATAAGTTTTAAACTATGTATTAATTTTAAGTCTCGATGTCAGGTGGAGTGTAATTTGCATCCGATCAAGAAACTATTGATCAAGGCGTTGGGGAATGGACCAAAACTGTAAGTATCTTATACTCTTACACTATTATATAAAGCAGTAGAGTTTGTTTGTTTGTTTGAACGCGCTAATCTCCGTAACTACAAGTTAGATTTGAATAATTATTTTTATGTTGGATAGCGCATTTATCGAGGATGGCTATAGGCTATAAAACATCACGCTACGACCAATAGGAGCTGAGCAGAGCGTGTGCAACCGCGCGGAAGTAGCTAGTACATTTATAATGCCATTGATATCCTATAATAACCGATCCTAATACGTTGATATATCGTACCGAAATTTTGTTCATACAAAACTAGTCTCTAAACATCGGAAATAAGGTCTATAATGGAGTTAATGGAGAGCGGTCACCGGTGATTGAGCAGTTAATACAAAATTTCTGAGTGACGTAGATTTTTGATAGAAAATAGAACATGTATGACAAAAATGTATCTAATTTAAAGATTTTAGACTAACAGCGATCATTAATATCTGCCCTTGGTGTAAGATGTAATTATTTTTATTGGTTTTGTCTTACTTAAGTATTAAATGCGACTGCCAGGCAAGGGGTCTCGGGTTCGATGCCCAGGTCGGGCAAAGTATTTAGTAGTACTGGGCTTTAGGAAAAAACTCAATAGTAGCACGGAGTCTTGAATTGTGCCCGGTATATGGGACTCGTAACATAAATAGTGAAATGTGCACCTTTGCCTACCCCTTCAGGTATAAAAAGCGTGATGTTAGGTTGTTAGGTCTAATTTATTTTACTTCTGTTGCATGTAAATTATAATTTCTCACTTAACTATAATATTATACAGTGACGCGACACTCCGAATGGCCCACCGAGCTCGCCGTCAGCTCGCCATAGAGAAGTGTAACGAGCTGGCGCGCATCGTGGACAACTGGGACGTCAGGGACATTGGACAGTGCTGTAACGAATTTATTAGAGGTAATCATCAACAGCCTATAAATGCCCACTGCTGAGCAAAGCCTCTTCTCACACGGAGAAGGTTTGAGCATTAATCACCACGCTTGCTCAATGCGGGTTGGCGATTTCAAACTTATAATTAGAAATTATAAGATCAGGTTTCCACATGATGTTTTCCTTCACCGTTTGTCAGTGGTGTCTAAATAATCTTAGAATATATGAAGTTACTTAGTCTAAATAATATTAGAGGTAATAATTCTGCATTACGATATTCTACTTTATTAACACATCGGCGAGACCCTTGACATTTTTCTACTGTCTAATGAACAATTTTTTTCTCATTACTTTCAAATCAAATCAATCATGTGCAAATTTCCATGAATATTTATAGAACAGAGAGTATAGTTCCCTAAGATCGGAAAAGGAGGATCCTCCGACCAGGCGAGGTGATCGTGCCTGGCGGGCTTTCTGCCCAGCAGTTGTTCGTTGGGATTTTCTATCCGTGTTTATTCGCTTGTAAACTTTGCATGTGCGATGTAGGATTTTATGACGTCATCCGTTGACTTGTGACATGTGTCGCCACAAATATTTTTATTAAAATAAAAGAAAAAAAATGACATCTTTATTTCTCTGTTTTTACTTTATACATTAAAAGTACTCCTTATGGCAATTTGTTTTGCCGGCAGACGAAAACAAAATAGATTTCACAGTATATTATTTTTTAAATAAAGTCGGTGTCTAGTCAAAAGCTGTGAAACTCATAATATGTCTAAAATTATATTATACTAGCTTCTGCCCGCGACTTCGTACGCGTAATCCCATTTTTTCCCGGCCCCGTTCGTGATTTTCGGTAAAAATTAAAAAAAAAGTTTGGTCAAAAAGTATCCTATGTCGGTCTCCTGGCTCTAAGCTACCTCCCTACCAATTTTCAGCCAAATCTATTCTGCTGTTCTTGAGTTATAAGTGGTGTAACTAACACGACTTTCTTTTATACATATAGATTGGAAGTACATAATTCGTGTATCAATCCACAGAGGACACGCTGTCCAAGATAGGTCCAGGCAAGCGTATAGCGGAGCGGCGCGCGTATCTCTTCGACGGACTACTACTGCTGTGCAAGCCTATCACTAGTATTGTGAGTATCTTTATATATATAACTAGCGGACCCGACAGACGTTGAAAATACGTTTAGTACGGTTGACGATCTTCGAAGGAATGGTCACTCTGGGAGACGCTTTGTCGCACGAAAATGGTTCGCAGCAATTCGCATTGAAACTTTTTGCGTTGCAATTTAGCATCGCAGTTTGTGTACGAGCCCGTATTGTTGTATGTAAAGTGACCGTTGTGGGGCAGGTCGTCAACAGCGGCGGCAGTGGCGGCGCGGGCGGCGGCGCGCAGCAACTCAAGCTCAAGGAGAAGCTGCACATACGGAAACTGGAGCTCGTCGACAGGCCCGACACCGACGGTAACCACCGCCTCATTTATTTCAGTGCCACTTGGAAACGTCGACATATACACGATGCATGGACTCTGTCACCACCGACACTCTTCACCTGGGTGTAATATACCCGAATGGTATTGTTTGAACTTAGTAAGTGATGGAGGAGAGCAATCATATAGTTGAAAACACTTAAAATATGAAAATAGATCGATTTCAAAAACTTTTTTGAAACTACGTTTAAACAAACTAACTTCAATTCCTCCATGTTTTTGAAGTTGGTTAATTAATATGTTAAGTGTAACCAACACTTTTGAACACCGCATTAAACTCGGTTTAGATAGTCGCCAAATAATCGCGCGCGAACATACTAAGAACACATAATTAATAAGTCAAACTAAGAACCTCCTTTTATTTAGCCGACTTCAAAACCCTTTTTGAATTGGACTAAAATACGCTTTTTCTCCCTAGCTGAAGTCGGTTTTATAAATGTAATATAAAAGAATAATGGTGTCCCCCCGTAGAGGCGCGGCACCTGGTGGAGCTGTGCCCGCGCGTGGGCCCGTGCGTGGTGCTGGCGTGCGCGTCGTGCGCGGAGAAGCGACACTGGATGTGCGACCTCGTCATGCTCAACACCAAGCCCATGCTGGACCGCTTCCTCGACAGGTGCACACATACACATACACTAACTATCGTGACACATACTAAATTAACTAAAAATCGCGAGATACTCACGTGAAAATACTAAGAAAAGCTCTACTAGTTTTGAACCACAGAGATTCTGCCAGTGGGCTACGCAAAAGCGCCGCGACTACGCACGCTTCTCATGAGGAAAAACCCCTCTGTGCATCGAAACTAATAGAGCTTATCTTATGTGAGTAAGTGTTTAGTATGTCTCACGATAGTTATTATAAAAACATTAACAATTCTTTATAATGAATTGGGATGATGACAGGGTATGAAAATTAAAAATCTAATTAGTCCGTAAGTTAGGTAATGAAAAATATATTAGACACGTATTTTTTTTTTATTTTGTCGTTTAATAAAACAATACTTAGATAAAATGAATTAAAGTTTAGGAGTGGAGGCTAAAACGTCATTTCGACGTATAAAATGTACATAGAGGTACGTTGAAAGTATTCGTTTCTGTAAGAAAATAAAAAATACGTGTCTAATGATTTACAATAATCTACCAGACGGACATTGAAATAATAATTAGTCATCTACCCTATTGTAACACAGAACGAAATTGAAAATAAATGGTAATATTAAGAAAATTAACAATGCAATTAAACATGAGATTCAATATTCAATATTTATATTTCCTCGTCATCGAACCGAGCAAATAACGATTTCCCAATACTATTTTTAAATTAGTGAAGTCAGTATTGTGGATATCAAGTATATTTAGAGAGATAGATACAAAAAAGAATACAATATACTGCGTTATTGACCGCGTGGTCGCTGGTGCGACTGCCGGTCAAGAAAGGTCTCGGGTTCGATTCCCGGGTCGGGCAAAATATTACTAGGTTTTGAAAAAATTCTCCCACAAAACTAGTAGAGTATTACAGAAATCCAGAAAATTTTATTTTTTATCATCAAAATAATGTAATTTGTAAAGAGATCAGTGGTACAGGTCGCAAATGTTTTTGTATTAATTAATTAAGTTATACACGATAATCTAATCTCAAATTTATATCTCCAGCATCCTCCTGGACCTTGAACGCCGGCACCCCCTAAAGCTCCCCCCAGCGTCCCTCTACCGGTTCGCAGTGCCGGACTCCCCCGACAACATCCTCCTGGAGGACAACTCCGCCGCCCGCCACCATGGGAACGCTCCAGTACCACTTATAAAGGTAATACCCCCGTAGACACCATGATAGCTTATATAGTTATACTTTGGTGACTTGAGGGGGTCTTGTTTTTTTAAGAATATGTCTAATGACCCCCATTTGACTTTTTTGTAACTGTGTGAATTATAATAACAGTTTTTACCATCTCTTAACTAAGCGTCACTTAGCGTAAAGGAACACGTATACTAACCCCTAATTTGTACATTTAGGTGTCACTTAAAATCATGTCTTAACTAAGAGTCACTAAGCGTGACGTCGCATCTAAACTAACCCGTAAACTGTACTGTTAAGTGTCATTTATACATAGTTTGGTGACAACCAAAATATTAAGTGTCACCTAATTTAGCTTAGAGGTTTCTTAAAATTTAAGACAGGTACGTTTTTCTATTTCTATTTACTTCAGAATAGATTAATTGAAATTAAACATTTTTTTAGAATCTGAATTTTATATTGGTTTTTTATTTTAATCAGACTGGGGTTTTTATAACATATTTTTAATATTAAAAATATAATAAGACTAACTATAACTTCATATACATTGTTGTTAGTGACGCGTGTTAGATACAACTTTATTTTTAAAATAATTATTATTATTTTACTGTCTTAAATATTTTGACTTAACTAATCAAACTAACTTAGTTAAATATAATAACTAAACGGAGTTGTTTATTCATAAGTACACAAAGCACCGCTAATTAGTTGCAGCGCTACACATCGACACAACTGTCATTTACACAGTGTACATGTGTGCGTAATTTCATATAACTGTATATAAAAATATTCGTCCACCACGTTCACATTGGTATTTTCATTCTTGTGTCGGTATACGTATTTTTATAATTTAATGCATAGGTAAGGTTAAAACTATTTACAATCATTGATATGACCCGACATTTTCACTGTCATTATCGTAGTGCTCGTGGTCGATTGGTTAATGAGCACGCTTTTATCGTCTTTCAAGGATCAATGATGTGGGTTCTATTCCAGCTAAAAGTTAATTTTATTTTACCTTGTTATTTTTCTTATTTTTTTTTTGTTTTTTGTCATAAAATATAAATATCAGGCTATAAAAGAAGCAAATGAGTTGGTAAATAAAACAATACTATTTTTTATTACAATTAATTTATTTATTATACAAATATGTTGTTTTATATTCAATATTTATATCTAATAATTAATTATATACCACATGTTAAGTTTAAAGTTCTTTAAATCATAATTAATAGATATGACAATAAACCATAGTCGAATCGGGAAATATCATGCGGTACAGCGGTAATACGATGGCAGCAACATTTTTTATTAAGTAGGTAATAAACAAATATACAACATTCTTGTTTTGTAATTTAATAATATAATGTATTATTAAATTACAGTTTTACAGTAATAAACAAGTAAAACATGTAAAAAATTACACTGTCAACATAATATTTCTTGAAATGGGCGACTTTTTGTCGTTTGAACTTCCATTAATTATCTATTTTACGACGGTTGTTATAAGGTTCAATATTCAGTGGGCTGTATGATAGTAAAAAGAATGTGACGAATGCTATGGAACGATTTTAACTTTCATGACCTTTAGAATCAGGGAAACTTTAAATTAATTGAAGATGGGCGTAAATATAATATGTCAATCAAGTTCGAAAGCAGTTAAATAAATTTGTTAATGAAAAATTAAAGTGAAGTGAATAAACATGTTGAATAGAAAGAAATTATGACAATTTCTAACCACAAAACAATAACATCACTTCACCGTATGTTCTAGACAGCATTTTAATATTCTTAAAAAAATTAAACATTATTTTATGTTAATTTTAATAAAGGCAGAGTTTGACAGGCTCAATAATTGATTCCGAAATCAATACAATCACTGATCCTACAAGGCAGAAGGTTGCAATTCGTATACCTTTCTCCATCTTTTCTTCACAATATTTTACGCCCATCCTTATTCGACTTGAAAGTCTTTTCGTCGCTCAATATGATTACACTGTTCGCCCAATCAAAATTAATAAAGTCCTTAGCAAATTCTTAGCGCTTTTGCTGGTGAACCACAGATAACAATATTTTCTTCTCTGGCTTCCTGCACCTTAAACCAGAATGCAGGTGTCTCCGTACAGTTTGTATTAAAACATTCAGTGCTGTCGCTGTAGTGCGGGTTGGCAGGAACGGATCAGCCATGTGCCTGGCTACGATGTCGTAGTGCCGAGCCGATGAATTTGCCTTTGGTTTAGGCCCACGTCGACGATGTTTAACGTCACCGGTCTCCACATATCTGTGCACCCATAACTGCATGGATCTCCTCTGTTGATACCAAACAAATAAGTATTTAAAATACCAGGAAATACTTTACAGGAATTAAAGTTACTTAAAAATAATAATAAATATAAGTAAACACAATGTTAGAATAATAATTTATAATTAAGTAGTGGCGTAAGGAATAAAAATCCCTAACCAGATATGTTTTAAAGAAACACTCCTAACAAAAACAAGTCAAGTTACAATACAATTAATAATAAATTATTAATATATCTTTATAATATTGAACTTCATAATAAGTTGCAATAATTATTTTATTCTAGTGCAAAAATTAATAGGTGTGTCGAGTTACAAAATGAAATAAATATTATTTAGAATATCAACGTAGTATCTTATTTACTCACCGATATCATTAAACGCCTTGCTATTTCAGTTATTGTTAGTTATGTTTTGCTCATGCAAAACAATGGTTTCAGCCTTTTTAAATGTTGATAGGTGTTGGAACATCTTGTAAAAATAAAAAAACTTTGCACACGAATATAAGTAGTGTAGCAATAAACTATGAAATCCTCATAAATTGACAACTAAGAACGCAATTATTTTGTAAGTCGGGTGATTTGAAAAACATGTTTTAAATAGTCGGTAGTTACTTCATAAGCGTGTAAAATAAAATGACTCGAGATTTCTATGGTCGCCACAAACATTGCAAATATACTCAGGTATCGAACCATTAAGAAATCACAGTTAATTACTTTTTTACTGTTTTTATCTTATTTAAGTTGGTTGAAATGCATGAAGCAAATGAGATTATTCTAAATAATAAATAACTAGAACTAAAATATAAATAAAAGATATTATAGGTATAAATAAATCTAAAGTATTTACTATTAAAATTAACATAAGATTTAGAACAACAGGAAAGGGAAAAAAAAGAAAAGATTTAATTGTTTCTAATTTCAAATTTCAAATATTTGATAAATTAATTCTAAAACAACATGTGAATGTTGGAATCGATCCGGCGGCACTTTACTTGACAATTGGAGGCGATAACCATTGCGCCAGGCGCGCTGTAGATGAGATCATCGAAATATTTTATATCATTCAGTAACATAAAATTACAATGAGAAAGCACTATATTTATATGGGTATTGTATAGCTCGATCGTTCATTATTTTTGATTTCGATTTATTCAAAGTTTGTTATGAGTAATTTTATCTTTACCCTCGTTTTTATTTAAACTTATTTACTAAATTATTGCGTATACCGACACAAAAATGATTTTTAAATACCAAGATGTGTGTGATAGACGAATGTTTCTATACATATCTATTGATATGAAATTACCCACACATGTATATTGTGTAAATGATAGTTGTGTCGATGTGTAGCGCCGCTAACTAATTAGCGGTGCTTTGTGTACATTAAACATCTAAATATTTTAAATAATAAACTTAAACTTTATTTTTTATAGAAATATTCATAAATATTACTTACTTTTACTTAAACTAACATTTTCTTCGCGTTTTGCCGTTTAATCGGTACAATTAAGAATTAACCTTAACCATTAATAATAAAATCGTAAATTGATCTATGATTTTCCATATTTCGTATAATTACTGTAAAATTTGTATTTTTAAATGTGTCGCGACGTGAACTTGTATTAGTAATCATACAGTTGCTATGCGTTGCTGGCGGTTGCACATGTAGATATAATTTCACCAGCCCATACTACTTTCAAATGAAATGTTAAGAACTTTAATGAAGATTAATAAAGCTTGCTAAAATCTGTTTAGAAAAGATTTCTTAAATGGATTTTTTGTATTGGGTTTTGACATCGCTATTAACAGCGGTTAAAAGCCCACTGTGAGCTTTTTCTACGTAAGATGGCTCATGTCTAAATACTCAAATAATACTGAATTTTAAGACGCGCTTAAGTGTAATTCTGTCTCTACAAATTCTTTGTAAAAGACAGAGATGGCACGGTATTCGTGTACAACTTCAAATTGAGTGGCCTCTCAGTGTTCGAGCGTCAATCCGTTACTCAAATATGTAGTCTTTTACGCCCATCGACATATACTAATAGACATGCCATACGTATAATCTGCAGTAATTTTTTGGTTTGAAAAGAGTGAGAGAGGTGGCCTATGCTTTAAATGTGTCTAGAGCTATCATAACGGCTCATAACGTCTTAACTACGTTACTATTTTGAGAGAGATAAAGATAGACCGAAACTTCGTTTCCTCTCTTTCTTTCGGAGTGCCACAATTCTCATCTCCAAGGCATGTCCATTAGTATATGTCGATGCTTACGCCTGAATACTGAAATTGTATATAACATAGGTACTGTATTGTTCTTAAATATCGCGCCATCTCTGTCATTTTACAAAGAATTTTTAGAGACAGTACTATATTAACTAAAAATCGCGGGTTACTCACGTGAATATACTGAGAAAAGCTCTAGTTTCGAACCACAGAGGGGTTCCGCGAATTTTTAGTTAATTTAGTCTGTCTCACGATAGTTATTATAAAGACAGTAATTAAATGCAACTTAAAATCAAGTAGCGTTTGAGGTATTTCGACATTAATCATATCTTGCGACACCTGCCAAAAGAACAGGGGATTTATGACTCTATTGCAATGTACTATAAAATATTTAGAACATTCTCTTCAAAAAAACTGGTGAAGTTATTGTCTACGAAGCGCAGCGACTTTCAAACATTTTATCTTTATTTCATATCCGCTTGGCTTAAAAGTTACATATGA